CGTCGACGCACTGCACCGTCAGGTCATGTCTGCCTTCTCTCCCGTTTTGGTGCTGTTGTGCTGTTCATAGTGTTGGGGCACTGGAGGGCTCATTGAGTGCAGTATAGGGAGTATAGGGGCAGCACTACTGCACTCACACCACATTCACTGACGCCATACACCCATACACTGGCGCTTAATATCCGCGCATTCAGTCATTTGGTTGTTTGGTTAGGGAGTCAACCACGAGAGCCCTATATCGCTGTTCACTCTGAGCTCCATTTCCGGCCGCACATTGCATACACACCAAAGTTGTGGTGGTCGCCCACACCCGACACATCTCATCGGACACACCGTCTGGTCGTGTGACCAGTTGTGGTGACAGTATTGGGCCTCTACTACAGCCATACCAGAGCCACCCCTACCGTCGAGGGTGTCGTACGGCCGCAGGAGTCGAGTCGTGTGATTGACCCCAAGAGTTGCCGACATTGTGGCCACCGATGAATGGATTGAACACTGAATTCAAGTAAATTAATTGATTTGATTTGAAACCAAAACCATTTATCTGTCACTTGTGTTGACATTGAGTTGACAAACGAAACACATTTTCAAAAGAGAGAGACTTTCCGGTGTTTTGCGCAAATATATCGCTATTAGTGTTATTCGTGTTTAGTTTGAATTGATTGGCGTTGAGACCAATTACGGTGACAATGGATACTCGGATATCTCAATACTTTTGCATATTTTGCGAGAAATGCACTCATTTTGAGTGCTTGAGTGAGGCGTACGACCACTACAACCATCACATGAAAGTGCAATACTATTGCGTGGACTGCGATAACGACCGCAAATGCAATGCAAAGCACAGCCCGGAGGGGGAGTTGGATGCGGTCGACGCCGGACTCATCCAGATGTGGACCGAGAGGTTCCTCTCATATCAGAGCGAATTGATTGATAAGACTTATTCGGATCTCTTCCGAAGCTGTAAACTCTTCACCGGTTGTGCCGTCTGTCAGACATTCCTCCGTCTCTGCACTCAGAATGACATAAAGTATAGCAAAGGAGACATCCAGTGGTCGCACAACGAGGCCCTCAGCAATGAGACGAGACATGTGTGCAGTCATCTCCGGTACTATCCATTCGAGTGTAACAAATGTGAATCCGACGGACGCTATCACAAGAAGTGCGATATGTCTGAAATCACGCGACACATCCGCAACAGCCACTCGTCCACTCTTAAGACTACGAGTTTTGATTCATTAGTCAAATCCGTGAAAATCGCAAAACTCGAGAGTTTTATTCAGTACTGCTTTGAGAACCGGAAGCAAAACGTTCAGAGCATCGCTTCCAACGCACCGGCAGTCATGACACCCACCCGGACATCGAAACGACTGTTGACTCAAACCCCGAAACCCATCCCAATTGTGTCGGTCTCTAAACCGAAAAAACCCAAACTTGAGACTCAAATGGTTGTCGCAAACAATGGTAACGAAAGTCATAATAACGCGAAATCAAAAGAGACCAAAACCACGACAATCTGTAGCGATAAGAATGATGTTGTCCTTAGTCTCAGAAAACCCAAGACTTCTAACCATTCTTTAAATAATTCGTTAAGTTTTACGCAAAACAAAATTATTATCAATAAGCCATTGAATGGTAACCAGAAAGTGACCAATTCTTTGTCCAAATCTGCGGCTAAAGTCGAGATTAAGTTTAAACCAATTGTGAAGACATATTCGCAAATGAATAACAGTATGTCTTTAAAAGCGAAACAAAATCTCATTTCTGGCGATCAAATCATTATAAAGAAAGTGCCGGAAGTGAACAACAAAGGCATGAGTCTTATCAACAAAACGGCTCTCAATTCTGCCGTAAAACCGATGATTCAAAGATCTAATAATAACTTAAGTCTGAGTCAACAGTTTTCAGATCTGATGGACTTTTCAGACAACGATACCATTCAAATTGACTTAAATTCAAAAGAATTTCAAAATGAAATGAAAAATATTGAATATTTTTGTATATTCTGTACGAAGAAGATGCCTACAAAAGAACTGGCGTACGAACACATGCAAAGACATTTAGATTACTTTCCTATCATATGTCTCACTTGCGGTGAAGGGCTCACAGATTTGCAGTCATTTATGAAACATCACCGCCAATCACATCCCGAAGCAGTTAAGGGTAGATATAAGAAGAAAGAGCAGCCGGTGATGGAAAAGTGGATCGCATCGTATCTGTACTCTCAGACCACAATCATCCGGTCGTTTCCGCCGCGAGAGACGTGTCCGGTCTGTGATCGGGTGTTCTCGCGGACTGATATCCAGAACAATAAGCCCCGCAGATGTACCATCAATAGGAAAATCGATCACTTGTATAGGTATGACATCTCTTTGCCATTCATTTAATTGCATTCGTTTTATTAATTTTGATATTTATTTGACAGACACTTGAGTTATTTGCCGTATGAATGTGTTCTGTGTAAACAGAGTGGGAGTGAGTTTTTGGTGGCATATTTTGAGAGCAAAGCGCACAGTCATATCAAACTGAAACACCCGGAGATCGACGACAATGAGTCCCGTTGGCATGTTTTTCAGAAAACCATTTCAATCCCCAAATTGGACGAGTTTATCGAAAACTATCTAGCACAATACGGTATTTCTATGCAATTGGAAAGGCGTCCCATAAAGAAGGCTATGAAATACAGTTCGCCCACCGATTCAGGCGCTAATAATTCAGAGGATAAGAGTTCTCTGGAGTTTAATAATAGTTCCCTCAACTTGAATATGATTTTCTCGGATATTATCGACATTTCAGACCCTAAGTGCGAACCCAAAGTGATTAAAAGTAATGATAATATTTGTAATATTAATAGTGATAATGACATTAAGAATGATAACAATAACGACAATGAAATGGATATCAAACCAGACTTAGAAATAAGTTTAATCGACGCGAATACCGATCGCGAAGATCTGATTGAAGGCAACAACAACTCGGATGACAGCAATATTGTGGTCGACGTCTCGCCTCTCAATATGATCTATAAAACGATTCCCGACGACAGCGAAGAAGAGCTTTATTTTTGTATATTTTGTTCGGAAACGAAAAACTTCTCAAAAATCGACGCCTATTCCCATTACGGGCAACATTTGGACTATTTTCCCGTTTTGTGTAAAATCTGTTGGAATAAGTTCGAAGATGTGGACCGTCTTATGGCTCACCACCAGTCAGACCACTCGACGCAAGACAACGTTGACTATGAGATATGCGAAGACCAGTCGCTCGTCAAATGGGTCAATGAGTTCCTCGACTCGCAGCTCGCCGTCAAGAAAGTGATGCCCTGTTCTTGTGGTTACAATTGTCCCGTTTGTATGAAATTAATGGCCATTCAGTCGGTGGAGGGCGCCGTTCCGTGCGCTCAACACAACGACGTCTTATTCAGTGTTCACATCCATAAACATCTCAATTACTTTCCCTATGAATGCAATACTTGCAAACGAAACGGCAAATCAGTTCGAGTGCCAAACCTGGACTCCATTGCCATGAATCACATGAGGGAACATAACATAGAGAGCGCCTCCATGTCTCAGGTCGTCAAGAATTTTCCCAAAACGTTAGTCATTCCCCGTCTCGAGAAACTGATTGGCGATTGTGTTCATCGGAAACGAGTCGGAGAGAAGAAGAATCGCATCGATTTGAGTCAATTGAATGCTTTGCAGCCAACCCTTGCCGACACCAATTCATTACCGCTAATAGCGCTCAATAACGAGCCCTCGACCTCAACATTCAATGTATGTCTCATTTGATTGAATGCCTATTTCTATAAGTTATTGATTGTATTGTTTATATTTGCTTAGAAGACACAACACATACGCCTCGAAGGCGGAAGAATTGTTAATTTGCCGCCAAAGACATCGGTTGTCGACCACGAGGGAGACATTAACGGCACAAATCTCTCACAAACCAATAATATTTGTTGCATTCATTGCTCTAAATATTTTCCAAATAAAAAGTTATTTAGATTACATCACAATCAGTCACATCCAGGAAAGCCTATTCTGTGCTCTAAAAATGTTTGATTTTATACAAAATTAATTTGAATTTTGAAAATATTTTTCTATATAGTACTGTATTTATTAATCGACTATATTATGTCTTTTGGTTTCATTATATCAATCATATAAACCCCAAATTAATTAATTATTGCACGTCTTATTTGCATAATAATTATTATTTCTAAATTAAGTCAATCGTTCAGAGTTTTTATTAAATAAATTGCTAATTTAATTTTTCTAATTTTGTGTACTATTTATGAAGACCATGTGTATTGAACTATAGTTATATTTCGTAACTTAAATTGATTTTTTAAAATTTAATAAAATGTTTGAAAAGAACTTGCATAAGATAATGTAACCAGTTTATTATAAATACTCTCCGATCCAATTATTGGGATAAACTCTGATAAACATTATTATCATAATTGTTGAATATTAAATTAAATATATTTTCTTAAATTCATCAGTTATTTAATTTAATTAATTAATGGATTTAGACATTATCGTATATTAACTGCATTCATGTAAATCTAATTTCCATGAAAATTATGGACAAGTTTGGAAATTGAAGGTTTTGTCAATAAATGAATTTTGAGTGAAAAATGAATTACTGTTTGTTTAAAACTTTGACAAATGATTTTCTATTGCACATAAGTTTGAAATTCAGTACTCACTATCAGTTATATTTTTATAAACATTGTAGTTAGTTTGGGATACAAAATCAGCTGTACATATTAAATAAGATTATACCGCTAAACACGAATGAATTAGAACTATTCAATAATTAATTTAAATTCTGGACACTGATCATTCAAATGAAGTTAATATTTGATTCAATGAATCTACTATTGTAGTTTTCTATACACATTTTATAACACTATCTAAATAAATTTAAAGTTAAAGTTAACATATTAATAGTAATCATTTGAACCCTAATAAACAATTCTAAGAGATGGCTAATAAATATTTGTTAGTGTTTACATAAAGTTTTTGGACAAATTCTGTAAACTTGTTATCCAAATCTTACTTTCATATTTTAATGAAATGTTTTTAAAATAAATAATCAATTTTTAGAACTTTTTAAAAACATTACTCGGAAATTAATTTCTATAATAAATCAAATGATTGTATTTTAACTAAAACAACATTTCGGCACAGAGTGTGAAGATTGCACTTAAGAGTAAAGCGCTGTAATAAATGACAAAACTTATCGCTTTTTCAGTGAATTTTACATTTTATCTCATAAATTAGCGAAAATAGAAGTTCTCTTTAATTCTAATCAATTTGGTTTAAAAAGCAATTTTGAAAAAGTATAAATATTAAAGAGTTTTGGGAGTTTGGATAGAAAGTTTCACTTATTGTCATACAATTGAATTCAATTGATTAAAAGTATCCAAAAATGAAAGTCATTTGTTTTGCGATCATGTTGTCCGTATTGATAGTATTGAACATAAATGGGGTTCAATTGTTGCCTTACGACGACGGGTATTACAGACCGAATAGACCGACACTTGGGACTGCATTTGTGAGACCATCCTATAATCGACCCTACGATAGACCCACTTATGACAGACCACACCAAGGAAGCCATCAATACCCTGGAGGAAGATATCCTGATTATTCAAACACTCAGTATAGGAATTATGAGAATTCATATGGAAATCGATATTAATTACTGGAAATAAAGGTAAGACATTCACTCAACTGTACTGTACTTTTACTGATTTTATCTTTTCTATTCAAACAAACAGCATGTATTGACCTTAATTTCAATGGTTTTCTAACGTATTTTCTTAAAACAAACAATTTTTATTGTATTTCATTTTTGTCGGTTCATTGGATTTTTATGTATTCATAGTTAAAACTTTTTAACTTTTTGTTTACTATTATAAATTATATTGAAATAATGTAATACCGACACAAAAGCAATGATATAAAGACTTTTTTTTGTTGATTATTCAGAATTTTGTGCTGTTTTTTCTTATTTGGATTCACTCTAACCTCGAGTTGAAATTCTTGAGCGGGAATTCCCACTCAACCACTCCATGCATAGTATGCCACAAACTTTCCAGAATTGCCAAACATTAACACATTTATACTAAATATTTGTCAAGTTTTAAATCTATAAAAATTCTCGTCTCTAAAAAACTTTAAAACTTGTCGAACAAAGCTTTTAAAAAATCCAAAACATTCTCATTGTTTGCAGTGAAGCAAAAAAATTGTTAACAGATCTGTGGAAACTGTTTTCACTTTTATTCAGAAATGTTGAAAACAAAAGTTGTTTTGATATTCTTAGCCATTATTTTGATGTCAAATGTGGAATACACTGAATCGCAGTATTACGGCGGCTATTATGGTGGGCCATACTTAGGCCCGGCTTTTGGCTACCGGCCTCGACCTTATGGCTATGGCTACCGGCCTCGACCTCATGGCTATGGCTACGGTGGTTATGGGTATGGATACCGACCCTATGCGGTCGTACGACGATATCGCTATTACAGAAGACCTCCGTTTTGTGTCGGTCTTTGTTTGGGAAAAAAGTAATATTTGGAGCAAATTCATAATTACTACCGTATATTCATTTGTAATGTTTTTCTGTTATGTTTAAACACTATATAAAAGTCACATCTTCTTTATTTTAAAGCATCTTTTATTTGTTGAGCTATTATTTCAATTTTGCCTTTTAATTCAATTATGTTGTAGTTTTAATTTGATTTGATTTATTGTTATTTTGAGACGCCGTGCACTCAACTTGTAGTTATTAATGTTATGCTTTTTATAATTGCTTTTTAAAATTAAATTATTAAAATTGTATTTAAATTATAATGGAGTTTGTGATGAACTAACTTAAGTTATAATTAATTAACAATATTATAATTATTGAACTAATGTTTATACATGAATGTCATCAATCTTTCTGAAGAAAAAGTTGTGTAACTAAATATTGATAAAAATAAAAGTTTGATACCTGTATTGGTAAACAAGATTTTGCGACAAATAATAAGTCTTGTCATATTAGAATCTAATTGTAATACAGTAATTAGATGAACAATTGCAGTCACTATAAATATGCCGTCAATAGTAAGTTTTGAGTTGCAATGTCACGGTGAGAGGTTACAAACTATTTCAAATAGATTTCAATGTTAAATTCATAAATGTTTGACTAAACTTTGATTTTCATCCAATGAATTCAATAATTTCGAAGTGAGTGAAAATATACTAGCTCATTATACTAGCAATCTACATTAAAGTACAAATTCACTTTTATTTATGGAGTATGTGTTCCAAGTAGTTTTATTTTTAGTATTTCAAAACATTCATTTGATTTAACATTTCTTTTAATATGAGTTTATCTAAGAAACTAAAGAGTGGACACATAACGAGACAATCATTTGAGAGAATTGATGATCAATTAATTCAATCAATTGGTTACTATTTACCACTAAAAGACAAAATAGTCTTAAATGGAGTGAATCGACGATTTAATAAATTTATGTTTGAAAGTCAAAAAGATTTAGTCATTGATTATTCATTTGGCAATCGATTCAATAGTTTGAAGAAATTGAAAGAAACGGACAATGAATCTGAAGATAATAATCAAAAGAATTCAATCCAAGAATTAGATTCACAATCAGATACAGCGTTAAAAAGAAACCATTGTTTGATTGAATGGCTGCTCAAGAAATTCAAGTGCATTGAATCAATAGATCTGACAAATTGTTTGCTCGACAAACAAACTATTGATTTGGTTTGCGATGAGTTTTGTCCAAAACTCAAATTCTTAAAGTTTACACAATTTGCATGCGATAAGGACTCTGTCGTACGTTTTGGTCACTCATATGGCCACCAATTAACAAACATCCAAATTGAGACTCATTTTGGCAATCAATCAGATTTGAATGCATTGTTTCTTAATTATTGCGACAATTTATCTCATATTGTCTGCGATTCCATCGATTCAATGGTCGACCAAAAGGAGTCATTTTTGACAAATTTGCGAACAGTTTCTATAGTCCTAAACAAGAGTGAAGACGTCCACGTAATGAAGATATTTGTCGATAAATATAGGAATCAATTGAAAGATTTGTCGGTTTCCATACAATTGGATGATACTATTCATATTAATAGAAATCTCCAATTGATCTCAAGTATGAATAATTTAGAGTCAATTCAATTGGACTTTTTATGTCCGGAAATGAATTTAATGTCAATTGACGACAGTATTCAAACAATTGCCACAAATTGTCATAAAATCAATTCATTGAAGATTGGATTCAATTATTGTTGTAATTCTATTATATCATTAAACTTTCTGAATATTTGTGGACTCTTTCATAATATGAAGAAATTTAAGTGTCAGCTATTGATGACCCAAGAAGAAGACAATGAGAGCTATGAAATGGTTACTAAAGAACTGAGAAAATTGAATATGAATTGTCTGAAACATTGCATTCGTTTAACTCATTTAGATTTATGCTTTTCGGAATTGACCGACAATTTTGTGAAAGACATTGATGTCTATTCTCCAAATCTATTGTCAATTCACTTGAGTTCAGCACAAGATTTGTCTAATTTAGCGCTCATATCGTTGAGTAAATTACAATACTTAAAGTATTTGAAGATTTCAACTAATGATTTCAAAAGTGATTTGTTTCCACTGATTACTGATTTGGGAATTAAACACTTATTAACTAATTGTCCATCGATTCGATGCCTCAAATTCTTAGGCTTTCCTAATATAACTCAAGAGTCTATTAATTTGTTGATAGAATTTGGTCACAAATATCCGAATAGATGTTATCGTTTTGAATGCTTTAAGAGAAACGACGAGGTGTCTGATGAGCTACTTATTAATAAGATTGACATCACGTCTGTGGAAATATCTCACAATTTAGTGATCAAAATAGAGATCATTAATGAAATGAATTCCGACGACGAAGAAGATGGTGATATCGGCGGCATTTCAATGGAAATAAATCAGAACTCAAATTATTAATGAGATAAATCACAAATT